GTATGCGTTTTCGAGCTCGATTTGTCCCTTCATATGATTTCGTATGATTATGTTATTTGTTGATTTTCTAAGATTTTGGTACTTGTTTGGTTCGATTTTGGCATGTTTGTATTTCCATTTTTCTATATTTGTTTATCCGTTCACTGGGCATTTGGCTCAGCCGTGTTTTTTTTAATTTCCTCACGGCAGGTAATCAAGGGACGGATAGGTTTTGTGAAAGAGAGTAGATCAGAATCTTGGTTCCAAGGATTTCAAGAGGTTTAGTGTTATGTTAATTCATTTATTAGATTTTGTTCCTTTCTAGCTATTAGATTAGATTTCTTTGGTTGTTTTTAGATTTTCCTCAGTTGTTGGAGGATTTTGGAAATAGTTTGTTTAGAGACCTTTATATCTTATTTGGAGTTATATTCAATTTCGTTATTGGAAGATTTTATTTTGTATTGGAGACTATATTTTGGAGGTTTTATATAGCGCTCCGTTACGTTTTGAAGTAACCTCCGTTCCTTTGGAATGGGGGTGTTACATGATATATGCTATGTGGTGTTATTATTTTATTAAAAAGAGGATGGTATCTTCACCATTAAGCAAAATGACATTTAATAATATAAAGCCACATCGCCTTAGTCAATATTATAATAATAAATATCCTTCACCGCCTAGGTGGGATATTTAAAGAAAGAAAAAGATAAGGGTTATCCTTATCACTGTTTAATTTAGAAAGAAACTCTTGAGAGAAGAAAAAGGTGTTTAAAGGTGGTGAGGTGTTCTTCAAGAAATCTGTTGCTTCAAAAGTATTGAAGATTCTGTGATAAGTGAAGAACTTGCTGTGTGTTAATCTGTAAAACAATCTATTTGATAAGGTGAATTTTATTAACCAAATCTTTATATTTTGTGAATATTGAACTATTAAGTATTGATGATTTGGGTATGGAAAGAGCTTGGTAAAAAGCCGTTTTATAGATATTTTGACATAAAGATTATGAGTTTAAAGGTTTGAAACTGTTTTGGAAGAACAAGTTGTTCTTGAGGTTTAAAAAGGTTTGAGTATAAACCTATATTGAAACAATGATTTGTTTTGGAAATTATGAACAGGTTCACTTTGACATATATGACTGAGGTCTGTCATTAGATGAACTACTTCATATGAATTAATGAGAAGACATAAGGGTGGAATATCAAGAAAGGGGATATTTGGGAGGATATAAGGTTGGTCGTTGTTTGCTCGGCCTAACTCTTATTATGATATCTATTAGAGTTACAATAGATTGAAGTTCTCATTTCTTGGTGATTTGAGAGTTTAGAGATGTTGTCTTTAGTAGAAATGATAATAATGATGTTATGGAATTGGAGAAAATATGGCTCATGACCGTTGGTTGTGAATAAAATGCTTTGGCTAAAAGCATTGATTGTGAGAAAATAGAGGAGCTCCGGTTGTATCTTGCAAGGAACCAGAGGGGCTCTGATTAGTTCTCATAATTGAACCAGAAGATTCTGGATATTGATTTGAGAATGATGCAAAATCTTTTATAAATCATGAGTTTAAAAATAAGATTTATGTCTTTTAATCAAGCTTAGTGCTATATTTATAATTTTAAAAATATTATTTCAAAAAGTCTTTATACTTAGAAATCTTTTATTATTCTTCTTTGATTAGGAGCTAGAAGCTCTAGTTAGTACAATCAGAAGCTGATGGACACTGTGGAAACAGAGGCCGATGGACACTGTGGAACTAGAGGCCGATGGACTTAAAATCCATTATTTATTTTTAAGTATGTGATTTTGAACCAGAGGCCCAATGGACCTAATCCGGATGCAATTCTTTTATTATTCTTCTTTATGTTGAGAAATTCTTTGGTAAATGTTTTGGTGATCTCACCCTGCATAGCATGAAAAAGGGAAATCTCACTAGACTTTTGTCTAACCCTCATTTTATGTTTTAAAACATGTGTGCATGTAATACCAGTCATAATATTAATAAGGGAAAAAGCATTTTATGATTACTTCCCTTATATGCTTAAATACTGAAGACCGTGTTCAGATGTGTTTTGGAGGATAGCAATGATAGTTTACAAATGCATGTATTTTGGAATTTTTAAGTTATGCAATTTGTATCCTAAACCGGTAGCACAGACTCTTGTAATTTTGGACCTATGTGGGAATCTATGCATTCTATGAGGGTGCGTTTGGTAGGCAGAACAGGGTGGGACAGGACAGGACAGAACACATTTGTCCCATGTTTGGTGTGGTTTTATGTGGGACTAACTAGAACAAGGTAGAACACGGGTAGGACACGGTAGTCCACCCTTCCCCCCATGGAACTAATTAGAACAAGAAACATTTGACCTATCTACCCTCCATCTTCACAAAGTCGCCTCCATCTTCACAACGTCACCTCCATCTTCCACTGTCTCATTCATCAATCGGCGACCGGCGGCCTGGACAGAGTTGTTCTCCTTCACAAATCGACAGCACCAATCGTTCGACCTTTCTCTTTTCTCAATACTCTCAGGTAATCGATCTCTCCTCTCCTTCATCGATCGTTTAGAAGAACCCTGCTGTTTTTCGATTTTGCATAACTCGACAGCAAGTGCAAAAAGTGCCCTATGAACTTTCGATTTTGTTGTTTTCTACTCGATTTTTCTAATCGATTTTGCTGTTTTCTACTCGATTTTGCTGTTTTCTACTTCGATATGCATAACTATATCTGAAATAGCAAGGGCAATGGGTTTATCTACTTGATTTTGGTACTGTTTGCATAACTCGACAGCAAGTGCAATGGGTTTAAAAGTGTTCGATTTTGCTATTGTTTGCATTTCATTAACCATATTTGTTAAACCCCATAATGCAAAGTGTAAAAAGTAATGAAAAACAAACAAGTGATGAAGAACCAGAAGACCAATGAAGACATCAAGGCAGAAACGACCA